GCATGTTCACGGGAGACCTTTCGGAAAGCCATTTCAGATAATTGGTTAGAACGGATATCGAGTTGGAGGGACTCCAGGAGGAAATGGGAGGACGTAGGGGGTGTACTTTTTGACATGTTTTCCTCATGCTCCCTCCCCAGAAACCATCAGCCTGTTGTGTTTCAAGCCCCAAGCTGATTCTTGGGATTCCAGATTGAAGCTAATGGGAGGGTCAACCCTATCTTAGTTTCTTCCCCTTGAAAGGGGGCAGTTCAGTGTTTATCCCCTCTGCTTTCTGAAGAGCCTTCTGCCCTCTCTCCAATAATGCAGAGAGAGAAGTGACAGTAATAGCGATTGAGAAACTGGAGAGATATGCCTCTCAGGCTGGCAGATAAGCAAGTGCAGAGAAATAAGGCTGGGCATTATTCTGGGCCTTTGCCAGCTGTCTACTCTTTTCAAGGCTTTGGCAATAGGTGCCTGCACATAAAGCCAATCTCAGGTTGTATTTCAAAGATTGAGCATAGCTGATATTTTGTTCTGAGGGGAGCTGGCTCCCTCTAAAGCAACTGCAGCTGAGTGGAGGAGAGCCTTGTCTATTTAAAGCTAAGACTCTATAGGTAGGTCTTCCTGGCTGAGGGGGGACAAGGGCAGAGCTCATGACTGCCTGCTTAGCACTGAAGAGGGATATAGCCCTTCCTTCTCAGGTTATAGTCTTATCTTATGTTGGATACAGAGAGGAATCTTGAAGGCGAAACACCATGAGTGCGCTGTCTGAGAGGTTAGCTGAGGCTCCTTCTCTGGTAAGGCTCCACAAGTTCGGTTTCTCCAGACCGTCCACATTAGGGAATTCTCTTCTTAGTAAAGAGCTTATGCTTAGCTGTTTGATCCAGTTTCAGCTGGAACCATGAGTGTGGCTTTTGCTTTTTAGCAGATTATTCATTCGTCGTCTTCAAAGCTTGTCTTAGAATTACAGGCTCTTAGAAGTAGAAAGGCCCACTGTTGGTTATCCAGATCATCATTCTGAACTCTGGCTACTTCACATCTTGTTCTTCTGGTGGAATGTTTGTGTTGATGCTGTGGTGCTTTGCCCAAGTATGGTAGGGCCAGCAGCTCTAGGTGTAGGATGGTGGCGTGACTCGCTGGCCCACCCAAGCTGGGACACTCTAGGTTCCTACAACCACAAGGAAATAAATGACTTTCACCGCTAGGTAGAATCCTTTTTTTTTTTTTTTCTTTTTTTTTCTTTTTGAAGCTTGCGCCAACATTTGTTCAACTAAATTGTGTTTTAGAGTGTGGCTTAAAAGTAAATTTTTAATTATTAAGTATCTATCAGAGGGCTTGTGTGTGTGTGTGTGTGTGTGTGTGTGTGTGTGTGTGTGTGTGTGTCTGTGTCTGTGTTTATGTCTGTGTGTATATGCAGGCCAGCAGTCAACACAGGTATCTATTTTAATCACTTCTCTAACCTACTTTTGAGACAGGCGCTCTCACTGCCCCTGCAGCTTACCAGTTGGTTAGTCTGGCTGGCCAGCAAGCCTCAGAGATCTTCCTGTCTCAATTACAGGCACCTAACATTTTACGTTGTGCTGGGGAGCCACACTTCAGTCCCTGGGTTAAGGGGCAAGTGCCATCTCCTCAGTGCTAGTGTCAGAGTTTTGTTATGTCAGATAAACATTTGAGTTCACCATCTGATGTAATTAATATCTTTATTATCTTGAAAGAAACCTTCGTAGTAGAGAGCAGTGCACACTTGCCTCAGCTGCCCTTCTTCATTTTACAGTCAAGGAGGATGCAGTCTAGGAACAGTGCCATCCATAGTGGGCAGGTCTTCTTTCCCCAGCTAGCGTAATTAACACGCTGTCCCACAGGCGTACCCGGAGGCCTGTGGTTCTCAGTTCTGTCAAGCTGACAGCTCACAATAACCCTCACGCTCTGACCTTTTTGCTCATATATTGTCCTTTGGTCTCATTTGCTGCTACCTCCTTTATCTTTCCCGCCCCTTACCCCTGGTTTCCTAACTTCCTCCAATTGTACTTTTACACCTTTTCTTGAAAAAAACAAACAGTAACAACAACAAAAAAAAAACTGAACTATATTCTACATATGAAACCAAAATGTTTTTTTGAGTGTTCTTTATTTCACTTAATATGATCTCTAGTTTTGTTTTCCTGCAAAGGACATAATTATTCTTTGTAGCAAAGTACTACTTCATTGCTAGACTTGGCACCTTATCCGTTCTTGCACTGACACGCGTCTAGGCTTCTATCCTCTGGCTCTTATGAAGAGTGGCTCTTAGGAGAATGAAGGTGGGGAGGTATCTTCATATACCTGCTTCATCTAGCAGCTCTCTTCTTAGGTTTTGGAAGAACCTCGTTAGTGGTTTCCACAGTGGCCTCACTAATTTCTTTTCCCACCAGAGGTATATTCTATCGTCACTAGCATTTGGGTGTGTTTTCTTGATGGCAGCCATTCTGTTGGGATATCATTGACCACCTCTCAGTTGTGTTTGTCTTTGCCACTGGGGTGAGTAGTTTCTAGCAGGAAGCAAACAGCTTAATCTTGTTTTTGAGAATCTCCAGCCAGTTTTAGCATCTTTAACTGGCACATTAAGGTCTTTACATTTAGGTGATGTTCAAAGGCTGGGCTGATTTCTTCTTCATTTTATTCTTGTACAGGTTTGCTGTTCTACTGAGTTAGTAATGTTTGAACATACTCTAATTTGTGTTTGTTACTCTGTCCTGCATGACACTTATCTTTTAGAATCCGGTCTCTGCATTTGTGATAGAAGTTGTTGAATTTCTTACCCAAATCCTTAATTGACTGCTGCTTTTCATCTGTCTGTTTACTTGACTCTTCTTTGAGGTTCTGATGATGAACTACCTGAATTCTGTCTACCATTTTACCTATTTCAATATCCTTGGACTCGGTTTCTGAGGTTACAGCTATTTGGAGGAGTCACATGGCCTTGCTTTCTCATGTTGTATTTCTGTGTTGCAACTGAGCATCTGTTGGGATGGATCGACCTCTTTTTTTTTTTTTTTTTCCACATGGGAGTGTTCATAGTGAGCAGTCTTCTTGAACGGTCTGTCCCCATGTCCCTCCAGAGAGGAGAAAGCATACTGGTGCCAGGATGTAAGACAGAACTGCAGAAAGTGTGAGGTGTCCTATGTGGGAGGAGTCAGTGAGTGCTCAAGGTCTTTATTTTGAAGCCTGCAAACCATTGATGAGAGAAATGAAGGAAGACCTGGCTAAAGGGAGAGAGACTGTGCCTAGTGACCTGAGCATTCAATACTGTGAAAACATTAGTTTGCCCCAAATCAATTACAGAGTCTACAGAATTCCAGCTAGAAATCCAACAGCCTTTTTTTATTTTCCTTACTTTCTTTGGGAAAAAAAATAATTATGAAAAATTTAAACTTCACTTGAAAAATGCAAAGGACCTACCTGGGTATGCCAGCAATTGAGAGATCAAGAGAAGAGGATCTTGGCAAGTTTGAGGCAGGTCTGGGCTGCATAGTGAACTCTAGGTTGGCTTGGTTTACAGTGTAAAGTCCTGTCTCAAAAATAAAATGAAACAAGACAAAATGGGAAATGTAAAGGACCAAAAATGGTCAAAAATTTTGAAAAGGGATGAAATCGGAAAACTTCATTATTTGATTTCAATGTTATGTAAGAAGTAGTAATCAAACTAGTGGGTTATTGGATAGAGATATCTCAGTGGATAGAATGGAGTCTGGAAGGAGACTTACACATATGTACCTATTTGTTTTCAAAAAGGTTATACTAAATACAAGAAGGTTGCATATATGTGGTACCATGTGTAGAAAATCCTAGAAAATAGTGGGATCATAGGGACAGTAAGTAGTTAGTGGTTCGTAAGAACTTGTGACGTACTTCACTGTGAGGAGACACAGGGACCTTTTCTGGGGGCAATAGAAATGCTGCGTCTTGTGTCTTTGGTGGTAATTGTGGGGTCTGTTTATTTGGCGTGTGTATGTTTTGTGTTTACATGTAGTCTCCCATCTGAGTACAGGCCCAACCCTGATTAACTTCAGATGAGATTGGCCGTGATTAAGGTGGTACGGCTCTTGACAGCGTACCATCTTCCATAGGGAAGACTGGCCTCAGACTTACTGTATGGGGAGGGTTTAAGGTCACCTTAAACCCTTAAACCCCTATGCACCTGCATGCACCTCCCTGGAATTACAGGTGTATATCACCATGCCCAACTTATCTGAAAAAAACATGTTAATACAGTTTGGCTTGAGCATCAATGTACCTTAGAGGTTGAGTCTTCGGTTAGTGTACCCTTGACGTGCTGGGCTTGAGCTTCGTCACCATCAAACCCAAACAAACCAAAACAGATGGACGCCTTTTGGTGGAGACAAATGATAATAAAAGGCCACACATTGCAAGCGTCCTTTGGTTTGAGATCTCCTCATTCGGGCTGCCCACCTGAACACTGGTGATAGTGTCTACTCCTAAGTGAGGAGGGCGGTGCCTAGATACTTGGACCACGATTCAGGCTGCCCAGTGTCCATGATCAACTCCAGCACAGTTGGGCAAGCTGTTTGACCTCCCTGTGCCTCATTCGTGAGCTAACACTGTGTTAGTACTTGTCATCGCGAGTCAAATAAGTTATTTAAAGCACCTAGAACATTCCCTGGCACATTGTGAGCTGTATGTAAACATTCAAATTCCGTGTCACCCTCTGCTGATAGTTTTTTGTTCCTTTTTTTTTTTTTTAACATTTTTAAATTTAAATTTTTAATTGACTTGTTGCTAGAAGAGATCTGGGATTGCATCTAAACATAGTCAGGATGACAAAAGTGAAGCAAGGAAGGTGAGCGTAAGGCCCAAAGTACCCCAAATCTGTGAGTAGCCATGAACTGGAAGCCTGGCTACGTGGCTCCCCAGTCCAGCTCTGTTTGACCAACGGTTATAGTGTTTGCATCCTTAACACTAATTCTGGGGATTTATCACGCGGCTGCCATTCATCCCCTTCATTGTGTGCTTTTCTGCAGAGCCATCCGGAGCCCCAGCTGTACAAGACTTGCCTGCCACCAGCATGAGTTCTGGTAAGTTATTTTAAATCCTCCCTTTCTCTTGTCAGAGCTACAAAACTGTACGGTTCACTGAGACTTCCACATACCTTGAAGCCCTCAACAGCAGTATCACCACTTAAACACAAATGATGTTTCAGCCACGTCTAGGGGTGTACCGTACCCTGTGTATGTCATGTTTAGCTTCACAAGAGCCCCCTTTCCTTCTGGTGGGATAGAATTGAAGCAGCACAGTAAGCTGCACTTATTCTAAGTATGCAGTTGATAAATTTCGGCACATGTCTACCCCTTAGTGGCATTTCTTAATCTAGATGACGCAAAATACTCAATTTAATCATAATTGGAATTGTCCCTGGATGGGGCCTAACCCAACACTCCTTTATCCGGCTTGCAGACAGCTAACTTATGCTTTTAAGAATCAAGGTCTAAATAAATGAGTGTTTCAAGTATTTTTAGTCTTGGCCTGGGATGGAAAGCTCGGAGCAGGGAAAGCGGAATGGGGGCATGTCTCTGTGCATCATGCAGCTGAGGACTGTCAGTGTCCAGCCTGGAGACGTATCCTCCTGGGTATTGGTTCCACTTGGCCTCCTGGACCTGCAGTTGGGGATGGGAGGCAGGGAGCCTTGTGAGTATCTCATTCAGTTCTCACCATACTGAGGGTATTTTCAGAGATTTCTTTAAGTTAACAAGCCTTTCCCATTGCTGTGAAGGACTGTGTGTGGCGAGGCCTGGCAGGGCCACGAGGTGGGGCGGCTCAAGGCTGTACCCTTCCTCATATATGTCTGGTGCAGCTTGAGTCTGCGCTAGATGTGCCGTTGCTTCTCCTCTGTGAGGTGGACATCGTGACAGCTCTGACCCTTGGGATTTTTCTTAGACCGAGTATAGCAAGGCTCTTAATGTGCTGAGCACTGTGCCTAAGACATGACCAGATCTGCATGTATACTATCTTGCTGTTCTTAGCCTGGAGTTTCTCTTTGCAAGGTGAGTTTCTTGGTGTGCCTTGGGCCCCTTCAGTGTGTTTTCTGTGCCAGAGTAGACATGGGTGCTGCTTGCTGACTCAGTTTCGTTGGCTTGTCTTTTGGTTCATTCTTTTGTATTTATATATAGTGTCATATAGAGGTAAGGATGACCTGGAGCTCCTAGTCATCCTGCCTCTGTCTCCTTAGTGCTGAAGTTACATGTGTGTGCCACCTCTCTGCATGTATGTAGTGCTGGAGATGGGACCTGGGGCCTGACACATGTTAGTAATGGTTGACAGATGAGCCATGTCCTCCATCCTGCCGTTTGGCTTTGGTTGTCATTTATGATAGGCTGGGCCCTTTTTCCTATTTCCTTTTAAAAACAAGCAAAAACATTTGCTCTGCAGCCTAAATAAAGTCTCTTGCGCTTTTAAGCCAGCATTGCTGCTCCTGACAGTTTTAAAAGGCAGCAGGAGGAGGGCAGGTAGGGTGTGCCAGTGCCCAAGAGATGCCCTTCCTCCTTGGAACCCCTCAGGCAGGCGCTGGAAGGAGACTTTATCCAGGAATCCAAAATGCTGGGCATTTTGACCTCAAAGTCCTGTCTTGGACTTTCTATATTAGTTCCAAGGAAACAAAAACGCTACCATGAAGGCAGGAGTGAGAAGCAGTGAGTACACTGTGTGGCTAAGTGCTGTTGAGTGGCATCATTGGGAAGAGAGTAGCTGCATGGAAAATATTGCATATTTAGTGGAAAGAATGGCGGTGAAACGATACGTTGTTATTGTTTCAATTGGTCCTGGGAAGCACTGCCCTTGCAGGTGCTTGTTTAGGTCTCCTGGAGCCCCCCAGATACAGATGGGGAAACTGAGCTTTAAGGAATTAATCACCTGCGTGGGGTTGCCAACACGAGCTGCTGTAAAGGGCACCACATGGCAGGAAGCTGGAGCCTGTTTCCTTCCTTAAGGCTCCCCTTCTTCCACTCCTCCTTGAAATGAGCAGTCAAGGGAGGTTTGACATCAAGAGAGTGAGCCTGTGCCTACAGGTGGATGTGAGCCACAAACAGGATACACCCTGGGCAGTCCCAGCCACTGTGGGGGAGGGGCTGCAGAGGCGCTGTAGAGGCAGCTGCCTGGTTTCCTTATGGCTGGTGTTTATCAGGTGCTCAGCGTTTAGACAGGCCTTAGTAAGGAGACAGTTTCAGCCAGCTTTGCTCCTAGAATGTGAAATGAGTTTTAGGCCTAGCATTTGAGGGAATATATAACAAGACAGGAAACAAAACTGCTTATCTTAGTTGGGGAAGAAGATGGGCTGTGAGAGGGGCACTTCAGTCTCAGCTTAGGGAGCTGGGGTAGTCTAGGCCCCTTGGGCCCTATTATCTTATAAACAGAATTGCATTTTCTAACTCTGCCTCCCAAGGGCTGGGCCTAAAGGAGACAGTGAAATAGTAATTGTGGAATACTCAGCATGCACCAGCAATTCTGGCAAAAAAAAAAAACAAAAACAAAAACAAAAAAAAAACAAAAACAAAAAACAAACAAACAAACAAAAAACCAAAAACATGTTTAAACAACTGTAATAATGATTATGTTTATAGCTCCGCTGGCATTTTGCTGTGAGGGTCCCTCAAAGCACATTGGCCACATACGCTGTGGTGACATAGTCTTCCTGCTCTCTGGTCTTCCCTGGACTGTCCCCAAGTTCACAAAAGTGATGGACGGTGAACCTGGTATGCAGGGAGGGTCTCAGTGTTATCTGCTGCTGAGCAGAACTCAGGAAAATCTCAAGTGACTCTGAGGTGGCAGTCAAGGTGAGTCCCCAAGGAAACATAGGACTTTCCTAAAGTAAGAAAAGGGGATGAGGCTGTCCTGGCTGGGGACTTTGTAGCCAAGGTCTACCTATGAAAATCCCTTGCATACTCAGGGTTGAGACCAGGCAAGTAAGTTCTGGGCTGTGGTGTGTAAATGAGGGTGTGGGTAGAAAAGGGAGGTAGAAGGAGTGAGTGGTCAGGGATACCATGCCATCTCTGGGACAGTACCACAAGGTTCTAGACTGGTAAGGAAGGGCAGTGTCTAAAGGCACTTTATAGAAAAGACAGCTTGTCTTTTATAAGTAGAATTTGGGGTGCCATTTAGACACCTTTTACATGCCAAAGAAAGACACTCCAGGGAAGCAATAGGATCTGTGTCCCCCACAACACACTTCCCACCCGCAAAAGCTTTTGCATACTACCTGGTTCAGGCATTCAGAGCTCTCCCATGTACCCTAGGGGGCTTGTCCCAGGCCTGAAACAGCTACCTGCATACATATGGACAGAGCTGTGACAGGATCTGTTGGGGCAGAACATCCCAACTCTACCCCTACCTCACACCACATGGGACTGATTGTTGAGCTGGCACGGTCACGGGCCTTCTACTCATCTTCTTTCTTTCAGAATGTGATGCTGGAAGCTCGAAAGCCGTTGTGAATGGCTTGGCACCTGGCAGCCATGGGCCAGACAAAGGTAAGGCTGTTAAAGAGAAGCTGGCTTGGTACCGGAAAGCATTTCTGGAAGATGCAGGGGATGCTGGGTAGGTGCCCTCCCATCTTTCTGGAAAAGACATCACTGGTCTAGTCTTAGGGGCATAGTTCCCATGGTGGCTTTCTGTGACCTGAGCTGTGGGCCTACTCTTCATGGGTCTGAGGCTGTCTTTTTCAACTGTGGAGTGAATGCTCACAGGGATGCTGGGAGGTCAGACGGTGCCAGGTAAGTGTTACACGTGTCACATTTGACTTTCATTGGCTGGAATTGCTTGGATATGGCAGGCCACCTTCACTTGTCGAAAATAGGAACATGTCCACAGTCCTATGAAAGTGTCATTTAATTTCAGTGTCATTAGTGTTATGTATACCCTCTCACAGTTTTAGTCCTCCCCGCCACTGTGCTGGCGAGTCAGTCGAGGAAGCTTTGCACACGTGGACCAGCACATTACCATTACCAGTACGGTTTTCATACTTTCACTTTAAAACTTCTTCCAAATGGGAATGTAGAAATATGATAGAAACATGGACCGGATGATATGGTAAGACATTTGCGAGCCAGGCAGCCCACCTCTGGCCCCCCTTGAAGCTGCCCCCTCTTGGCTACTGAGAACTTTCACTTTTTTCTTCTACTTAAAAAATACCCTTTGCTTTAAAAAATGAAGAAGAAACTCCTGCAGTCCTGTTTGCTTAGGACGCTCTCACCCCGGCCTGACCTCAGTCTTGCAGTATGAGGTGACTGGAAGCAAGTTGCAATAATTAGATAAACTTAATTCCAGTTTGCCTGTGAAGACCAGAGACATTCAGAAGGATCTTTCATCTCCACAGATGTGAGTTCTCTTCCCTACAGAAGGAGGGAGTTTGAGCTCAGGGTTGATTCCTGTATCCCATCCTGGGACCCAGTGACTCCGTGAACACTAATCTATCTATGTTCTACAGTATCAATGAGGAAAGCTTAAAATCTTGGCATGGGATATTGAAGTAAAAAAAAAAAAAAAAAAAGTGCACCATCCCCTAAAGTATAATTTCAGAGGTTGCTATGTTTAGCCTTCTTCATCAAATGAATCCGAACACTCTGTTTTATAAGGCAGAATATTCACTCAGGAACCTCTTGGAGAGAGCAAGCAGAGAGCAGAGGATGGGGAGTGAGAGGCTGGGTGGCATGAGGCTGAGCTCCTTGGGGACAGGAGGTCAGTGCTGTTTTCATTCCCACCTCCCTGGCTTGCCACCCTCCTCCATTCAGTGTGTAAGTTCATGTAGGCTATGTTCTTGGGGTCTTGGGCCATCTTGGCGTTCTTGTGCTTAGGGGATATGGAGAGACTGGGCTGTGGAAGGGCTGCAACAGGATGTTTAAACTGGGAGCATGGGAGGGGCTTTTGAAATCCTGGGAATACCAGCTCCACCCTATAAATCTGTTTATAGAAGAAACTGGAGAGGCCTTTGGGGGGCGGGGTGTAGCACAGCAGGTAGTGATAGCTTCCCTCTGCTTAAGCAAGACTCCCCTTTGGTAGGAAACAAGGAGACAGCTGTAACCTGAAGGTCATCAGAATGGCCTGTGGAGCTCAGCCTCTGTACTTGAGAACTTGACTGAGCCTCATACTTCTTCCACTGAAAATGGTACCCCAAATCTGCCTCCCACCCCAGGACAGTCTCCCGAGTGGCCATAACCTACAGCCAACAGGATTTCTGTGGAACTTCATTCTACCTATGTATATGCAGAATTGTCACTCTTGACTTTGTTATTGCACACATAGACTTTGGCCTGCCATATGCCTTCTGAAGCTGCAGCATGATAGGCAGGAGGGGCACTGTACACCTTTAAGGTGCCCTCCACCTTCCTTCCTGCCTGTTTAACAGTCCCAGTCGTGAGATGCTGAGTCAACACTTTCTTATTTCCAAGCAGTCCTATCCCTGGTCATTCTGTGGTCTATGACTGAGACCCCTGGGCACAGTCCATTGGCGTCATCTTGGCACCATAGCACAGCTTTCGTTCTTTGCTGCCATTAAAGAGAAAGAGTGAGGAAGGTTTGGGGTATGCCTGCCATTGAGATGGGTACCTGGGCAGGTAAGGAACGGGGTCTCAGCATCCAGCACTGTGTGTGTACTGAGGTACTGCCCAGAGCCTTAATCATCCACTTGGACACTTGGCACCTCTTTTTCAGCAAGACCATCTGGTTCCCACTACATGGGGGTTCTGGTTTGCGTGGGGTCGGAGGGTGTTGACAATCAGAGCAGGCACAGGATCCAAAAAGGTCTGATTTGGGAGGAACAGCTGTGAGGGCTGAAGGGGCCAGGCAGTCTGAGAGTGATCCTCTTGTTCCTCACCTGCAGCCCCGGCCCTGTCCTCAAAGCCTTCATTGCATAGCAGATGACCCACTATTCCCAAGGGACACCTTGTACTCCGATTGCATTCCCCTTCCTCCGCTTGCCAGGCCATCTGCGTCTCTGTTCATCTCTTTGTCCAGAGCCTTGGCAAGCTCCTGGTGTGCCAGGAGGTGCCGGTAAACACTGACCAACTCTATTTGAGTAATGGTTGGAGGAAGGCTTCTGCCATCTTGGCCCAGAACCCTAAAGAGAGAAAGCAGGCTATTTTTAATGACTGCATCTACTGCTCTTTGCATTGTTCTTTGAGCGTTGGCAACTTCCTTCTATTGTCCTTCAAGTTCCTCGACTTGCCTGAGTGTCTCCCAAACGTTCTTCCTAGATGCACCGTTGACCCTTTTGTGTTTTCAGCAACTGCAGACCCTTTACGTGCGCGCTCTATTTCTGCTGTTAAAATAATTCCTGTGAAGACAGTGAAAAGCCCTACAGGCCTAGTACTCCCTCCAGGTATCTCTCTTCGGGGCTGTTTCTTTTAATGGTCAGATCATGCATGGTTTCTTTTCTTCTTTGCTTCTAACGCCATGCTGTGAACCTTAATCCCTGCATGTGTAGAAGGCATTTCCTCTCCCTAAGTTGTTTCCTCTCTCTCTTTCTGTGGGTGTCTTGTGGTGTGGTGTGTGTGTGGTCTGCCTGTAAGTGTGTAAGCGAGGGAGTAGGGCAGGGACCTGAGGCTGCAGCCGGGCCCTCCCTGTTTTAGAAGGCCTAGCGCAGAGGCTGAACCTTCCCTCTGTAGTGAGGCTCTCATGAGAGGTTTGCAAGTCCTAATACTTCTGTGGAAACTCCAGTTCTGAGAGAGTTAACCTGGCCTCAGGAGAAGCTGAGTGTGAAGCAGCTCCTGTAGATGTCAGATGGTGTTCCGTGTGGGATACTCAGGGCCGTTCCCCAGAGCACTCCCGCTCCTCTCTAGCTTCATCTGCGGTTACTTCCTGCCTCTCCTCTCCAAGAGTCGGGGGTATATAGTTCACTCGAGGGAGGTTGTGACTCAAAGTTTCTTGTAGACAAAGTGGGACGAGAGGCACGCAGAAGTTGGGCAGATTTGGGTGTGTGTGCAGGAACGTACAGACGGGCTGTGGATTTGCCAGTTTGCCTCTCACCCCTTTGACCGGACCCTGGTCTGGTTCTTTTCATACTCGCACACCGCCAGTTGCTCACTCTCTTGGTGGGCTCAGGTGCTCCCTGCGGTCACCGTGTTGTCTGTGGTTCACTGTGGGTTCCCTGCTTTCCTGCCCATGGAGGAGGGCTGTTGGGGCAGGAATGAAGAGCCGAGAGGAAGGAAACCTGTCTTCTCACTACCTCTCCTGGGAATAGACCTGGGCACGGTGCTGAGACATCATGGAGGGACTGGGGACACATAGCCCTGGATGCAGATGACTGCTTTGAGAGTCTTCCTAGAGAATGTTCCTGCCTCTGCATGTGGACAGTGGGGACTCTGTGTAGACTAAGCAGAGGTTCAGAGGACACCATTGTGTGGGGACTGAGCCTGTCTGGCCACCTTCCTGGTTGTGTGTTGTTCTCTCATTATGCTTGAGTGTGAAAGCTCCCGTCTGTGACCAGCACCTCTGTCTCATGGTTCAGGGCTATTGCGCAAGGAGAGATGCAAGAAGCAGCGATTCTCTTCGGAATGCCCCTAGTGCACTGCATTGTGGGCTCCGTCTTTTGTGAGAAGGGTGGTCTGCAAGCTTGAGAGATCTTTCACAGACTCCCTCCTGAGCCGTGCCTTACTAACTGGCCAGAATCTGCTTAGCAAGCCAAACTTCATTTCCTAGAAGGAATGAGCCAGCTTCTTTCCAGTGGGAAATGTCTTCAGCTGACACTGTAACTCATGCATTTACTCAGAACTTACCGTGGCTTTTCTCCCTCATCTCATTATGCTAGTGTACCATTGCTGCCACAGATTAATTTTCATGGTTGTAGATGTTTGAGGAGTAGGCATAGATGTAACCAGGTTCATCTCATTCCCCCGCTGGCTGTAACCATCAGCTAACAGATTATCATGCAACTCCCTCGGGAATCTTGGGCTCTAATCCTCTCCTTTGGATCTTTTCTTTTCAGACATGGACCCAACAAAAATTTGCACTGGGAAAGGAACCGTGACCCTTCGGGCCTCCTCTTCCTACAGGGAAACCCCAAGCAGCAGCCCTGTGAGCCCCCAGGAATCTCCAAAGCATGAGAGCAAGTCAGGTGTGCTGGCCTGGAGTCTGGGAGGGGAGGTGTGCACAGGGGAGGCCGGATGTACTTGTGGTTCAGCAGGGGTGGGGAGGGGTGTTGTGAATTCATTAGCCGCAGCCTTCTCCAGGGGTCCCCAGGGCAGTGACTTCTGTGCCTCCAGTGATGGTTAGTGGTGCTTCAGGTGAAGGCGCAGCCTGGTGATGCCTCCCTTGACTGCGCAGAGGGCCCTGTTACATGGCCGGTGCTCTGAAGACTGTGGGTATAGATGTTCACAGCTCAGCATCTCGAAACACATGGGATGGCATGGAGATTAGAGATCTCTACGGTTCTGCCTGCTTCTGGGGCCAGCTTTGACTTGGCCAGATAGGGCTGACTGGAGAAGCGAGAGACAGAAGGCGTTGCTGCCAAGAAAGTGGAAACCATGGGATGCTGGGTAGGGACTACACGGCAGAGAGAGAGGGGACAGGGATCATGAGAGCAGCTCAGTGGTGAGCAAGAGCCAGTTGAGACCTGTGCAGCCCGTGCCAGGACCCCCTGCTCACGCTGACCCCTTTGACTGGGAAGTCAGAATGCCAATTACATAGTGTTGGGACTTCAGCCTGGGACTGTGCTTTGCTCACCCCAACACCCCCTCACACACCTGAGGGCCGGGACAGTTTCTCTCTCAACCCTGAGGTTCTCATCTGTGTCAGGGAGTTGATGGTACCGGCTACACAGGATTATTGTAACCAAGGCGGATGTGCAGGATTTTAATGGGCTTGGTGGCATGGAATAAGCTGTTAGGTGTGAGATGCCATTTAGATTAAGATTGGGATTGGGGTTGTTTTGACCTCTCCAGAGAGAGCGTTCTACAGCCCATGTATTCTGGCATAGTGAAATGCTGGCTTGTGGTTCCATGGGTAGTTAGCTTTGGGTGGTCCATTCTGTAAGCACTCTGTAGGGCTGGTATCCTCTCTGCATCTGTCATGAGTAGACAGGCAAGATGGACCCAGTCCAGAGGTTTAGGCTTGTGATGCCTGCGTGTCAGTCTGAGGAAGGGTCTTTGCTTTTGTATTTCTGACAAATTATTAGGTCAGGTTGTAGAGCTGGCCCAAAGACCACATTTGAAAACAGCTGCAGGAGATGGGGTTTTCTCTTCTCTTGAAACTGGGAAACGAAGCACACTGTTGGAATCTGCATGAAAAGGAGACAGGGCTTGCAACTCCGGGTATGGTGTGTGTGTGTGGGGTATTGTAACATGGTAGAATTATGTGGGATGCAAATGAGTAATGCTTGCATCTGCTGACTTCCTGCTCCAGCCACCTATGGTACCAAGGCAGACACTTGAGAATGAGGCCAGGCCAGGATTTGAAGACAAGCTCCTTAGAGGCAATACTGATTTCCAAGGAGGTCATCTCTGTTCCTAGGCCTAGGGAAGACCTGAAGCATTCTTAACACCAAAAGCTGGCTAAGGGCTTCTTGATTCCACACTTGAGTCCTGACCTACTAGAGTTTTCCATTCTCTTCTCTGGGAGAGATGCAGTTGAGAAGAAAGGCAAAATAATTTCTTCACAAGGCTGGAAGAAGAGAGATGCTTCAAGAGGAAAGCCTAGCAACCTTGATCTTCCAAGCCTTAGGCAACGGAGAAGGGTCCTTGAGCTCCCTCTAGTGGTTTTAGGTGGCACTAACACAGAGCAGCTGTCTCCGTTATGGCACTTGCTAAGGGACTTCTACTGTGCTGCAGAAGTAAGCGTGCAGGTGAGATGGTCTAGAAAGCGCCATCTTGTCCACGGGAATTCCTACAAGTTTACTTTAACAAGTTTGGTGGGGAAGAATTTGATCCTCTTCATCAAGTCTTTAAAAACCTTCTGAAAATGCGAATACTTGGAAGAACTAAGAGACAGCTATCAATCACACAGATTTTTTTTTAAAAAAATTTAATTTTAAAAGATGGTTATTGTATATTTATATTTATCTCTTTTCCCCTTTCTCCCTCCAACTTCACTCATGAAGCCCCAGTACTTACTCTCTTTCAAATCATGGCCTCTTTTCTTTGTTGTTGGTGGTGATGATAACTCGAGCACCCGCACACGAGCGTGTGTGTGTGTGTGTGTGTGTGTTTATGTGAATTCCTAAATATATGAATGCAGTCTTCTCTGTCTAGATGGCGTCAGTTTTCTTATCTATCAGTTGGGCACTGTCCCCTGCTGGAGTTGCTGCGTTAAAGGAGCTCTTTCATATCAAGCATTCAGCACCGGCCTGACCTGACAATCCTTGTTATCACAATAGGTCAGGAGGGCTGCTAAAGGCTGAATCCTGTTAGTTTGGTTTGAAGGCAGGAGGTCTGGTCAGGATTAAGGGCAGTGGCGGTGGTGGACAAGGTAAAGTGTCTTTGAAGGAATGAAATGATGGGGCTTGATGCGAGACTCAAGGACTGCATGCTGAACAGGTGGATTTCAAGATCATGTAACTCCTGAAAGTGAGAGCTTTGGGAAGGATGTTGGAAAGGGACGATCAGTGCGTCCTGTTCTTAGCTATGTTGAGTTTCCTGGCAAGAGAAGGACTTCCGAAAGAAATTTCTAGGAGGCATTTGGAAATGAAGGTCTGTGGTGTGGATACAGGAGTTCCTGCACACGAACTCCAGGAAGATGGAGCCATCTTCTGTCATGGGTTGCCTCCACCAAGCTGAAAAGCATGTGAGCATCAAACCAAAGGAAGAGAAGCTGAGGCCCTTAGAGATGCTCAGTTTAAACCGACTGCTCTTTGGACTCCTGCTTTAAAATATATGCATTTACAATTTAAACTTTTATTTTTAATTGTGTGTGCGTGTGTGTTTTGCACGCACACATATGCATGTGAGCGCAGGTGTGTGTATGTCAGTTCTGGTGTCTGGAGAACAATGGTGACAAATCCCACAGGACCTGGAATTACAGGAGTCTGCAAGTTGTTCCCCTCCCCCAGGCAAGTGCTGAGAACTGAACTGGAGTGCTTTGAAAGGGCAGCCAGGGCTCTAACCACTGAACTTCTCAACCCCCAAAGTCCTGCCTTTGAGTGGTGGCTGGATCCCAGGTCCCTGACCAACACCTTATCTCTGATTATAGACTTTGGATCCTAGGTTCAGAGCCGCCTGAGAAGAGTGGAAATGATTCCAGTATTGACTCCCTGAGTCTGGGGGAAGCCTCATTATCTTCTCCTTGTTTCCTGATCTTATTGCCCAGCCATATCTGGGTGTTTGCAGCCCCATCACTGCCCTAAGTTAGTGTTTCGCCTCCTCCTCTTCCTCCTCCTCTTATTTCTTCTTTTCTTCCTTCCTCCTCCTCCCCTTCCTTCTTTTTCTTCTTCCTTCTTCCATTTCTTCCTCCTCTCCTTCTGCCTCCTCCTCCTTTTTTTTGGAAGAGCAGTTAAGGAGTCTGCACTGGTGGGGGGTGCCGTTCCCAGTTCCTTTCCCTTGTGGCCTGGGGATCATGTAGCTTGTTACCGAGATGCTGTGCCCTGACTCAGACAGGCTCTAGGTTAGCAGTCCCTTGCAGTCTGGGCACTGGGCTACTTGGTCCCAGATGTTTCCTGCAAAGTTATCCTCAGGCAGAATGATTCTTGCAGCCACAATCAATTCATTTCCCTTTGTGTGATTCTCACATTTGCTCTCCTAATTGTCAATAGCAGAGGTCTCATAAATTAGACCCTCTCAGTCTCTCTCTTTTTTCCTCTCTGAGACAGGGTTTCTTTGTGTAGCCCTGACTGAAATCTGTTTTCTATGAGTATACTGTGAGAATTAGGGCCAACTGAAAAGTTAGAGAAAAGGGCCCCACAAGGCAGCACGATCCCTTCTGACACCCAGCTGCAAATTTAGGGCACGCCTCACACCACCTTAGGCTCAGTGCTAGTGCTAAAAGTTTGTTTACTACAGGGAAAGGATAGAGATACCAGCCCAGAGAACTACAAGATCCCAAGAAGGACTATATTTTTTTAATAAGCAAGAAACCAAAAATGAAGCTAGGAAAAAAAAAGAGAGAGATAAAAACTCATACCTGGAGGCTTTAGCCATGGGCAGAAAAGTATGTAAAGAGCAGAGAGAATAAAAGGCAAAGTAGATATTTTTAAATAGAAAGACTGGGTATCCTCAGATCTGCAAATCTATGTACAAGCCAATTTTTCATTTTATTGGAGGAAGCATTTTTGACAGTCTCTTCCCTCAGGAGTCAGTAATTGATGACTATGTATGTAAAACTTCACCTTGTGCACTCAGATGTAATTGGCCCTGAGATGCTACCAACCTTCCACTTTCAAAAGAAAAGATAATGGATGAGGGCTGACAAAATGCCAGAAGTGTGCTCTCCTTCAATAAGGAAGCAAGCTGCTTTTTCAGATCCTGGGAACTACCCTTTTGGGCACAGTGAGGGAAACAGTTTTGAAGATTTGGGATGAAAAGAAAAAAGAAAATCCAAGTAATTTCCCAAGGACAGTATGCCTTTGAGTTTACTAAACGGAGAGATCATTTACTGTAATTTATATTCTTGTCGATTTTCCTGTATTTTGATCTGGATGTGGTGGTGCACCTCTGTAATCCCACTACTGGGAAGGCGGAAGGAGGAAGATTGCTGAGAGTTTGAGGCTGGCCTGGGCTACACACCACATCAACAAGCGATCTAAACCACTGAGCCATCTCTCTAGCTCCTGCACCATATACTGTTCGCTCAGTGCTGCGACTCAGAGTCTGAGTCTGTGTTGCAGATGAGGAGGCGTAGTCAGCAAGGCAGAGGAGTTGAGCTCATGGGAGGTGATCTGATGGCATGAGGATGACTTCTTATGATGCTAACCAGTTTAGAAGGACAGTCACTCCTCAATTGTCATGACATGTCTGTTTTCCAGTGTCACTTGAATAGAACCAATCCAACAGGAAGCCAAAAAGAGGGCAAAATAATGTGTCTCCAAGTCTGTGAGCTGTATTAACCTCTATCATCAAGGAGCCCCTTGTGAAGCTTATTGCAATTTGATGTCTATATAAACTTAATGAATTTGAAAAATGACCCTATAGGGGGTGTCTAGAAATATGAGCATCTTGGGAAAGAAGAGGGGACATTAAAAGTGATAGAGTGACGAGGATGAAGGGTCATTGTCACAGAATGTCCGTGTTCTGGGGCTGGCTAGGTATATGAAGTTCTCTGGGCGAGGCGCCTGGCTGGCACTGAGTATTAAACATGGTCACCTTCACATGCCTGAACATCTGATTCCTTGGCAACCTTGGGAGAAGGACATAGGGGAGTCTTTATAGTTTACAGATAAAAAATGTGAAGTTTGGTGTGGTTAGCAGACTTATTCCGGTTACACAAACCAGTTCATGTGTGAGACACACACCTGGTGAATCTTTCACTTGGTGTCTGTTGGAGAAGGCAGATGGTTGTGAATTGTCTATAAGGGAGTGGCAGAGATGTAAAAGGCAACCCACTACCAGAGTAAATAACTGACTCACCTTAAAAATTCTGCATTTTAGGGGTTTGCCAGTAGGGTATTTTAAAAATAATATTTGTACTAATTCTTTGAGACTATCAAACAGTTTGTTTGGACTGTATATATTATACACTTTGCCAGTTCCTTGTAGATCCATGCCCATCTGCCTAGCCACCCAACTTTGTGTTCTCTTTTTTGTTTAACCGCATCTAGTCATTTGTGCTGCTTAAATAGGCTTGGGTATGGTGCCTGTGCTGGGCTGTAGTCGACCTAAGGAAGGTCACACCCTTAAAGAGCATTTACTAGTGTCTCAACTACATCTCCCCCACTCTGAACTTAGATTTTTCTCTTGCTTCAACTTGCTGGGGTCTTGCGAATGCAGTTGTCTAGTTAGTTGGAAAACACTTGTTTTCTTGGAGTCATCCACCACTTCTGGCTCTTAGAGTCTTTCTGCTTCCTCTTCTGAGATGATCCCTGAGCCTTGAGGGGTGTCCCAAAATAAGGATATTTTTTTAGCGTGCTTTCTGTCAGAGTATAGGGTGTGGACTGCCAGCATCAGAATCACTGGAACTGTTAGAAATGAAAACTCTTGGGCTCCCATCTCTTTCTTGACCATAAATACGAAGTAAGTCTCAGCAGTCTGAATCTACCGAGACCTCCCCCAGACTGATGCAGCTAGACCATGCCCTTCATGGAATGCAGGTCACCTTGCCTTTTGCTCTGACTCTAAAAGGCTTCCAGCATCTCCCTGGCTACTGGTGTGGTTGGCAGCTGTGTGGCGGTCAGAGCACTCTGCTGCTTTGTCCTTTCCTGTTCGAGGCTTTCTGCTCTGGGCAAAGCATTTGGCCCCTCTGCTTTCTCATCCATGAAGTCCAGCGAGTGTTTAATTAAATTAAATACTAAGTAAGTGTCTGTCACCTGAGCAGTGCTTGATGCCCCGAAAGTCTATTGTTGGTCTGAGAGTCCCACACTGAAGGGGAGGCTTGGATTCAAGGACTGAAGTATGAGTCCCTTGCTTATGTCTAGGAGAGTGAGAAAAGACCTATCAGGGAACAGAAGGGAGTTAAAGGATTGAAGAGTAGGGGTTGCCAAGCTGGCCATGAGCAAAATCCAGCTTGCTGGCTATGAATGGCTTTTGTGTTTTAAATGGCTGGAAGAAAAATGCAAAGAAGAATGGTATCACATGCAACACAAAATCTGAACTACTCAAAATTTAGTGTCCATAAATCAGGGTGTTTGGAAGCACAGCTCCTTCATTTCTGTGTTATCTGTGGCTGTTCCTTGCTCAGATGTACAGTCACATGAGGAGTCACTGGGTCTTGAAGTGCTTGAGATCAGAAGTATTTCAGGTGTTTTTCTTTTAGATTTGGAGTCTTTGAATTATAAACAATGGAAGGAGTCCAGGCCTAAACGTGAGATTCATTTTTCACATAACTTCATACATGTAGCCTGTTATATTTTCAGCACACCTGCATTTTGACTGTGAACTGTCATGTGAAATCAAATCAGGTGTGGAATTTTCTTTTCAAAAAATTTTTTTAATTAGATTTATTTGTTTGTGCTTCCTGCCCCCTCCCCCAACCCCTTTGGCAGAAGCTAGAAGAGGCCATCAGATCTCTTGGAGCTGGAGTTACAGGCATTTGTGGCATTCCTGGCTTGTTATGTGGGTACTGGGATCTGAACTCTGGTCCTCTTGATTGTGTAGCAAGATCCTCTTAACTGCTGAGCCTCTCTCCAGCCCACTTGTAAATGTTTTTGTACCTCGTTTAATGTGATAGAGACAGTCCAGGATCCCAAAACATACAAACAAACAAACAAACAAACAAACAAACAACTCCTCCCAACAAAAAATAAAAACCAACATACTATCGATGCTTCAGTCATGGTCTACTGCTGGGTCCTATTAGTTAACCCCGCCTGCCAAAGCACAGTCATTCTGAGCCTGCAGCAGGCTTGGGGGTGGAGAATGAGAGTGAGTAGGGCCTGGACAGCAGAGAGTTCGGCTGCCTTTCAGTCTGTAAAGTAAGAATGTCAAGGAACAATTGTTTCTTCATTCCTGTGAATGTAGTCTTGTGTTCTCAAAGGTCAGCGCCTGTGAACACATCATGGTTTCAAGTGGGTTCCTATGGTAATTGGGCCTTCTTGACTGAGGGAGTTTTGTGTCAGACAAGGGCTGCTGATTTTCATCGTCCAGTGTGTCTCATGCTTACTTCCCGCAAGCGTAACCATTTCTGTTTTTTCCTTTTTGTTTTCATCCTTCTTGCTCCTCGCACAGGCCTGGAGCCGGAGGACCCTTCGGCAGGTATGGCATTTCTTACCTTAGGTGCCTTGGGGCTCAGGGACACTTGAATTAGAGGGAAGCCAGCAGCTGTTACCTGTGAGTGATGGGGGTTTGTTTTTGTCTTTCTTGTTTCAGATGAGTGGAAACTTTCTTCCAGTGCCGATGCCAATGGCAACGCCCAGCCCTCCCCTCTTGCTGCCAAGGGCTACAGAAGTGTACATCCCAGCCTTTCTACTGACAAGCCCCAGGTAGGTGTGTGCCCACAGACAGGGTGGGCACTCATTAGCAGTGCCTGTTCTCAAGTTTTGCAGCCCAGACTTGTGCCTCCCTGATAGCCCAGCTGGATTATGGAGTAGGGACCCAGTCTTTAGTCATCTCTGGAATAGCTTTCTCAGAAAGAGACTTGGCGGTCAAAGGGACCAAGAGTGTGGGATGAGGCTGGTCTCTGTGAGTGTTGGAAATAAGCCTGCTGTTTTCTAGGTTTAATGTTCATGGGGAAAGGTTCTAAAAGAAGGGGTTCATTTAGCCTTCAAGGTAGAGCAAAGTCTGAGCTTATTTTTAAGAAATTGTTTAGAGTGTAATATTCAGACAAATGCCTCTGGCATTTATTCCACTAGCTTTCTAAAGATGAGACTTTCAGAGTTTGAGCAACTGTATTATGACAGTTTAACATCAGGTGTTTGTAGCCAAGCCATAAATCCAGTAGCCCAAGGGCCTGAGGACAGAATCACAAATGGCAGCACAGGCTGGATTCACAGTCTAGATCAGGTCTGCTATAGAAGATCCCCATCTACAGCTATACCACCCCGAACAGGTACATTCTCACCTGGTTGTGGAAGCTAAGCAGGGCTGAGCCTGGCTAGTACTTGCATGGGAGACAGTCCTCTAAAGCTAGACAGTTTGGTGTAGGGATAATTTTGCTTTGGTTGGTGTTCCTAGTTGGTTTTCCACTCTTTCTTCCTTCTCTTTCCCATGCTTTACTGTTTTGATAAAGGGAATAGATCCTATCATTCCAGTGGTATATGAAGGATATTTTATAAAGAGGAGCCATCTTACATGGACTGGAGCCATCCTCCTTACAGGAGGTGCTGCTGCTCCAAAGACCCTTGGGTGGTGCAAGCCCTGTGCTTCTTTCTGAAGGACTCCTAGAACATACAAGGAAATCAGATGTTACCTTCCTCCTGTACAGACCTGTCTCCCTGGGTCTGCAGTTGGTCCCTCTTCTGTCTTGTTGATGAGCAGCACCGTTAAGCCGTTCCACCTTCATTCAGCCTTGTACATGTAGGCCCTGGTTAGAGCCAGGCACTGTGGATAGGCCTGGCTTCTTGGAGGTCCCTTGTCTGATGGCTTGCCAGAATCTTCCCATTTCCTAAAGCTTTCTCAGTATATAATGTGCTGTCTGTGGTAGTAACACCTCCTTTGCAGCTGTCTCAAGGTTGGATCCTATTGCTCTACCCAGATTAGAACATAGCCAGGATCAAGTCATAGCAGGCATGTCTTTCACCACCAGTGACTTAGCCCAAAGGATAATTCTCCAGTGTCTCTTGGTTTTGTGAACACACAAAAAAGCAAGGGCCAGGGTAGGGTTGTATTTCAGGGGTGAAATACTTGCCTAGTATGTACAAGGCCCAGGACTCATGTCCCAGAAATATATAAAGAAATAAATATCACATGAGGGGTAAAGATGAGTCCTTTTAAAATACATGTATTTAACAAAACTCTTGTACTTGTACTCAGACCAGTGTGTTAAACATTGCCCTCAAGGAAGGGAAGCTTTGTAGTAAGGTGATAGCTCCCCCAGCACATATTATGATCTGTTTGTTACTCAAAGTCACATTTCCTGTGCTGACTTCAGGGAGACAGGAAAACAGCTGATGCGGGAATTTTATTTTGTACATTCAATGTAAGATTTGCCATTTGAATGTTGGGAACTGTATGTCCTGTATTACTTTGTAGATTTCTTTTCTGAAAGTAAACACGAATTCTTAGCTGTGTAGTGCTTGCTATAATTACACCAGTGTTGGCTTCAATAAAGGCAAGGCAGGCTGGGCAAGTTCCTGGCTTTGTTCCAGCCCCATGGAGTTTATGGATCTGCTGGCAGAACATCTTCTCTCAAGGACTGAATTAGGGCCCAGAAGATGGATGGGCTAGGTGGGAATCCTATGTCCTGCCTGGTCTTGCTGTCTCTCCTACCCCCCCTCCCCCGCCGCTATTCCTCAGGCCAGGAAACCACAGAATCCCTTTCTGTGAGGTCATCATCAGCATGGTAGTCTGTGTAGAGATGAGGCTTGGAAGTTTCTGGAATTTTCTAACTTTCCGGAACTTTAGACCCACTCTCTGAAAAGATTGTGGAATTTCGTTAGTGGTCAGTGGGCAGGTTAGGCTGCAGTACTTAAAATGAAGCAAAAAGCTACTCCTCTATGTCCTTGCTCAGCCCAACTCCCTTCTTCTTTAGAGTTAAAAGAATCCCCAGGACAGGAAGTCCTTTGACTCTCTGTGTCTTGTGGACACTCTGGGGAAGTGTCCTCTCTGTAAGGTCACAACTTTAGGAGGGCTTGTGCCTGATGTCATGCAGTCCTGGTACCATACATGGTCATGGCTGAATTAAGTTTAAAACTCATTTCTATCTTTGGACAAGAAGAAATTACTATTTCTATGCTAGAAACTCTATTGCAAAGCCAGAGTGAACCTGAGCCCAGATCAAAATGGTTTCTACTTGCTTCTTGTGAGCCCTGTCAACTTTCTTGACAATCCCAATGGTGGGAGTTAGTTCAGTCATTTCTGGAGACTGTCAAGTTAGACTGCAAAGTGTGATAGCACTCAGTCCAAACTCATCAAACCAAAGAGCTAATGCCAAGCTTTGCCCTTGTTATATACTAGAGGGGCTCTTCATTGTGGATTTGGGGCTGGTACAAATGGCCACGCTCAACTGGCACTATTGTGGGTATACTGGAACAAGACATGGATCTGGTTAATGGACAATATCCAAATTGTTGCCTCTCTACCTAAACTAGTTGTCATTTCAAGCTTGTGTTTAAGGTGTAGGCTGTTTACTGTTTCTAGAAGATTGTCTTAATCCAGAGTCATAAAGTTTTTTTTTTAAACTTTTCACCTAGTCTCCTTTCTAATGTCCCTTTCCTTTCACACACATTTAAGAGCGGCCTCAGTAGAGGCAGTGTATGTGTTGCCTGCATATGAGTATGTACATATGCTTATCTGTGTGTGCACATACAAAGACAAAAGAAGGATGGCAGGTGGTCTCCTCGGGGTTGTCTGTCTTACTCCTGTGAGACAGGGCTTGTCACTGAATCACAAGCTTGCTTTTTCAGCCAGGACAGCTGTTCAGTGAACTCTGGGATCCCCTGTCTCTGTATCACATTGTTAGGATTACAGGAATGTCCAATCATGCCAGGCCTTTTCCCTGGGTCCTGGGGATTCAAACTTAGGTCCTCCCGCTTGAACAGCAAATGCCCTTACTCATTCAGCTATCTTCCTAGTTCCTTCCTAGTTTTTAGTCACAACACATCTGCAATTTATTCACCAACTTCTAGTCTCTCTCACATGTGCAATTAGAGGAGGGTTCTGGTTTTGTTCTCACACTGAAATCTGAAGGTCAGGGCCAGTGTGCAAAGTCTTGGACCATTGGTGCTGCTTCTCTGCGGTGTTAGTTCCCAGGTAAGCCACAGTTTGGCTGAGGAGGACCAGGTTGGAGAGTCAGCTGGCCTCCTGTCCCTCTGCCCCATTGAGTCCCATGGAAGAAAACTGGTGAGCACAGAGGGAAGAGGTAGGAATTTCAACTCTGTAGCTCTCAACCTGTTACCAGAGCTTTGTTCGAATCACCCAAGTATGGAAAAGATGGTCTGGCTGAATAAGCCAGACTCAGTCAAGCCCCACAGGCTAATTACACGCCCATGTGCCTCAGAGGTGGTAGATTCCATGCTTTTTAATCTCATGACTGTCTCCCATGTCGTTTTGTTTGTAGTTCTGGGGACTGAACTCCGAGCTTTACACATGCTGGGCAGACTGAGCTATATCCGTCAGCTGTATTTTTAATGATTAATTCCTTCAGGTTGTTTCTTTTGAGGAAAGAGCACACATGGACTCAAAGTCTTTAATGCCCTTCCCTAAGTGAACTTTGTATGCTGTAGAATCGAGAGCTGAGCCAGGGGCTCCAGAAAGACATCTGCCTCCTGTGAACACACATACAGGAGGGCCTTCCATTTCTCTTTTTCCTACAGGGAAAGAGTTAAAGTAACTGACAAGTCTAGTGAACTTCAACTTTATATTTAAAGGCTTCGTCCGCAGGGGTCTTGACGGAAGGAGGGTTGGGAAGGAGAGGGGACTCAACTCAGGGGCTTCATCCACTGGCAGATGGGCTCTTGATCCCTTCCTGGAATCAGGGGTTCTACAGAGATGCAGCCAAACAAACATTGGTGTTGGAGCTGATTCGGTCTCCCTGGCTTATGAGTCAGGCCAGCCCTGCAGGTAGGTGTGAGTCAGTCCTTGAAGCTGACCAGACAACGGCTGTGGGCACCAGAAGGATTTGCTTAAAAGTCTGTCAGGAGTTGTTTTGTCTTTTATCATGCTGTGCTGCTGTTTCTAATGGTCCTTCTCTCATCTCCCCTCCTCTTTCTTTCTCCCTGTTCTGATGTCGTGTCTTGAAACCACTGCTAAAGCTTCTGTCTCCCCGACACCTTCCTTTTCCTCAAGAGGGCCACTTTGCATGGCTGTCCCCCACTCTCCACCGCAACTACAAGGACTCCCTCTACATGAGCTCACCAAAGCCTTACACCCCTCCCAGCACCCCCCCCAGCCAGCAGAACCCCTCACTGCCTCCACCGGTCTCTGTTCCCCTGGCGGCTAGGTTGGCTCCCAAAGGTGCGGCGTGTCCTCGTTCATTGCTACTGGGGTCCATGGTCCTTGGCACTTCCTCCCAACCCCAGCAACACTATGCAGCCTCTAGACTAGTGTACAGTAAGAATGTGAGCTCTAACCCACATCAGGAGGCTACAAGGAATAAACAGGTCAGCAGCTTATATGTCCCGTGTTTATCCAATAACATTTGCCGGGCAACATGGGAAAACTACTCTCCTGTTGCACGTGACTCAGCCAGAGACACTCCCTCGGAGGCTGCAGGCACCCAGGCACCAGCTCCCAGCCTTGTCCCCAGCACAGCCACAGCCAGCACAGGAAAACCACCCCCTGCTCCTCCTCCTGACCTTCCCAAGCTATTCTTTGACAACCACAAAGATGCCGGTAACCGTGGTGAGAACCCCACACTGGGGACATGGGCCTCGTTCCCAGATGCAGCGAGGCCTCCCGTGCTAGGCCCCCAGGTTACCTCTGATCCCGAAAACCAGAAGAACAAAGAAACTTACCTTTGGCAGCCGTGTTATCCAGCCAAGGCAAGAAACTAGGAATGTTTGTGTGTCTTCTATGCTGTCTCTTTCAAAACCAATTCGAGCGCCTCACTTGTTCTCTGGGCTTCCCTCCCCTCTCTCTTTTCACTACTGTTTCAGCGCTGGAATCCTGAATTCTTCTATCTAAGCCTCCCCGGATGCGTCTTCTGTCTCTCTGTCTCTTGTCTGTAAATGTCTCAGTATGCCAGAGCATGGAATTCGTAGACTGACGATGTGGCGAGAATGTTTACATCAACAACCAGGTGCTAAAGAAACTGTATTTGTTCCCAAGCGTGCAGGCTCTGTGGCAGTTTTGTGGGGTTAAACGCTGCTCTCTTGCCTGCCTGTCTAGTCTGTTGTCTGTTCTCTTTCTCTCTCATGAAGTGTTAAAAGGATTCAAAAATAGATGGATGGAAAGTGAACTTGGACGGGGCTCCCTCTGTGTCATAGAGTATCAGGAGGCCAGCTGGCTAGCACTGGCTAGCACTGACTGTCTCATGTACTCTGAGGAAAGGGCACTGATTAAATATTTCTTCAAGTGCATCACTGCATGTCCACGCGCAACTGTTTAAATGTGGAATCCCTGTCTCTCTGCCCTCCCCTTTGCGTAACGACCCCTTATTTCCCACAGGCTGCCACCTCCTCCAGCCCAGCCCCGTCTGAGGTAATAGTTGTCCCTCACTACCTGGTTAATACTGACAGAGGGCAAGAAGGCACTGCCCGAACTCCAGCATCTCTGGGGCCGCTTGGCTGCGTCCACACTCTCCCGGCGACCACCCCTGCTGCCTCACCTCTGACCTTCCCGACACTAGATGATTTCATTCCCCCTCATCTGCAGAGGCGACCCCAGCACAGCCAGCCAGCCAGTGCTTGTGGCTCCCTCTCCCCTGCTAGCCAGACGCCACCACCCTCACCACCACCTCCGCTGGTCCCTCCCATACCGGAGGACCTCCACAGAGGCTTGGAGCCTGACCTCCCGGGAGCTGTCTCAAGTACCGTAAGCTTGCTGGACCCCCTTCCCCACGGCTTCCCTGAATGTCTGTTCCTGGCAGTAAAACCCTCCCTTTCTCACTGAAGTACTAAGTTCTGAGGAGGCCTTGGCCACTGTGCTTGTGTTTGCTGGGCCTGTGTCTGCTGACCCCGAGAGCATGTCTCCCGTGTGCATCCTGTGGGCCGCCTGTAGCTGCTCTTGCCTTTCAAGAACCCTCTTTCCTGTGCTCTGTTGGGAATGCACGTCTTCCCCATGGAACTTTGCTTTCTCTTTGAGAAGCATCTGCAGCCTTTTCTTCACCTGGTCCTGATCTTCGAAGGCCCAGCAGAGATAGCATTGAAGGCTGAGGAAAGCTGTGGGGTCTTGTGGATAGGCCCTGGCAGGCATGGTGCTAGGAAATGAGGGAGCAGAGAGGTTGTGGGGAGGAAAAGTTGCACTGTTTGGCTGACACTGTTTGGCTGATTGGCTGATTTCATAAAGTGAATTCTTTTTAACAGAAGTGTGGAGACTGGGGTTAAAAAAGAGAGAAAGAGGCAGAGGGGAAGAGAGTCAGGTTTAATTGAATAAATGGATCTAAAAACCCGTGTGTTAAGACTTTCTCACAGGACATAATTGCTAGGGGCCCTGAGGAGGAGGTCACTGTGGTTTGGGTGGCCAACTTGTGTATCAATAATTGTGGGACGTTATAAAGTCCTGACTGGATGTGAGTCTCTTCACAGACAGTCCAGCTGTGTTCGGCACCGTATGTCTCCTTCTTCCCCAGAAGCCCAGAATGAAACAACCTGAATGGAGGTCATTACAAGTTGCAATGTGAGGACACTCACGGGCCACAGGGCTCAGTGGGGTGGCAGGGTGCCAGTTCCCATGATAGGAACTCATGGCTCAGTATAGGCGAAGTACCTGCTTACTTTTGTACTGTTTCATACTTTTGTTACTGTTTTGCATTGCTGAGGACCTGCCCTAGTGAATGAAGAAGTTAAAGGACCTAGTTAGTTAGTGATGGCTTAATCCCTTCCATGTTCTCAGCAACTAGGCTTCACAGGTACGCTTACAAGCCAGGGCCGCCCTCAAGTGATCTGGAGGAGTGGTAGAGTATGTTCGCTCTCAAGGCTGGTACTCATGAGATCGCCCAAGAGCTAATGAAGTCTAGATTATATATCATGAATTTGATTGAGCGGGTCTGGGAAGGGGCTGCAGGTATCCAAAGAGTTTTGATGTTTGGGCCATACAAACACTACCTTTGATGTACAGTGAGCTGAGTATCATGTATTTTGCTGATGGAATTAAACATTTACTAGCATCCTTGGCTGGAAGAAATATGCCCATGAAACTAGCCTAAATGGCTTGTTAAGCTGAATCGAGTCAGGGAACAGGAAGGGAAACTTCTTATTTGGCCTAGTAGGGAAACTGTAATGAGGTGTCAGGCACACAAAAGCTTGGAACTGTTATGTCATGGGCTGGGCTTCTTAGTTGCAGCCCAGTGCAGTCAGACCAGGCCCAGGCCAGATGTAACCCTGAGTTTGGATCTTCTATTTGAGCTTTGCAGTTCATCTCTGCTGTAGACTGATGTACTCCACGTCTCCTAGCTGAACCTCTAGGTGAATTATAAGGAATTTTGGGTTAGGATGTATAGATATCTTGCCAGTGTGTTTTTCTGTGCAGCAAGTAGAATGAGTCTTACCAGATGTAGCCGCTGTAAGCCATTCTGGTGTGCATCTGCTGTTGAGCATTTGTTTAGCTCTAGGTTTGCATATTGACTTTGTTTTTCGTATGCCAGGACAGATTAGTTGGGAGAGTGTATGAAACGTATGCAAGTGGCCTAATTGTTCAGGATTAGACTTTCCAGAAGTTGGTTTAATATTTGCTTTGGCTTCAGGTAACAGATTAAGAGATTAAAAGCAGACTGCTTGATTTCCCCTCTGGATGCCTCTGTGGGTGGCATCCAGGGCATAAGTTGATACAAACTCCTCAAGCCTTGGAAAAAGATCTTACTCATAAAATTGAGCTCATAGAAGTGGCTCTCCAGGGAACATCTAAAAGAGAGCTCAACCAAGGTATTGGTGGCAATGCGCCTACTGTGTGTCAAGATCTGTCCAGGGTGCTGACCCCCAACATCTCTCCTGATGAGTGTGCATTCTATTGCCACAGAGCTTAGCCCCACATGTACTTTCTGATAGTTAGTGCCTGTCACTTAAATATTGTTTTTCTGAGCACCCGCTATTTTCAGGACACATGTTATGTGGTGACAGAAGAGGGGGATACATGGTCCTTGTCTCACAGGTATATATGCAGTAGCTGATCTTGGAGCGTAATTGTTTGAAAAATAGCTATCAGATCTTAAAGCCCCTTCAGAATGCTGCCTTGCCAAGCTTAGTGGCGCATGCCCAGAGCAAGTGGCTCTCTGAGTTTGAGGCTAGCCTGGTCTACATAGGGAATTTTAGGCTATCCTGGGCTATATAGTGAAACCCTGTCTTTAAAAAAAGAAAAAAGAATGCAACCCTGGGGCTGAGGATATAGAGAGCTTGCCTAGCAGAGGCTCAACCCTAAGTTTAGCCTCCAGAAACTGGGGCATGGGGATTGCCAGGCTTTGCTTTAAGGTTTGAAAGATGTGAACAAAACAACAACTTTGAAGAATCTCTGAGTGTGGTGGAGGGCACTGCGTTTGCCAGTCCATGCTCTCTTTCAGGGTCCTGTTTTCCATTTGTTTCAAGATACCAGCATTACGCCATCATCAGATTATAGAAGTGTTAGTAATTTGTTGATATTTCTGGTGGGGGTCTCAGGTTTTTAGGTCAAGATTCTCTCATATCTTGATTCAAGGATTTTTGTGTTCTGACACTGGAGTGAAGAGATGTCCCGCAGGACAGCTGCCCAGCTGCCGAATTTGCTTAGTGATGTTCAGAGTAACTTTCCAGTACGAAGGGGCTCCTCTCTGTTCTTCGAGCAGTAGCTTGTCTGACATCTCTCTACAGGGTGCCTACGTTTCCCTGATTTTTCCCACTCACACCAGCTCTCATTCTTAGATTGCATTTGGAATTGCATGAGTGCCGCATGTTATTCTATTTTCATTTGAATTTGCTTTTGCAGTAACCAGATTGATACACAACCATTACTACGTGAAAATAATGGATGATACTGAGACTTTCAGCAACATTTACTTAACTTTCCTTCTCTTACCCTTTACTAATACCAACAAGAAGAATACATTTCCAGATTAAACCTCTAACTGGAATTGACCCATTGGTTACATTTTCTTTTATAATTAAGGTCTTTGTACAAACTTTCATTCCCTTGTCTTACTAAGTCTAAACTCTAGATGTCTTACATTTACACTTCTTTTAATTGTTTTGTTTTTCAGGGCGGTCCTTTACTAACTGAAGTTTCTTCTTCCCATATTGAAACTGATTCTCAAGCCTTCCCTCCAACAAGCAAAGCTTCATCTGCCTACCCCTCCACCACAATCGTCAACCCCACCATTGTGCTTTTGCAGCATAATCGAGGTAAGGCAGCCACCTGCGTGGGTGCTGGAGTCAGCAGCTCCAGTCTGTGATGTCTGGGGCAAGAAATCCTTCCTCCAAAAAAAGTTCCCCCAACCTTTCCCCAGGCCAGCCACCCAGCTTCTTTGAAGGTCCCACAAGGTGGCAGGGAGATAGAGACCCCTGATCTGAAATGATGTCAGTTTCTGTGTAAGCTGGGCTGGTTCAAGTTCATGTGATATAGGTTGGCTTTTCATGGTTATCTGCAAACAGTTAATGCACAAAAGTAGAAGATTGTGTCTCTTGGTTCGTCATCGCTCAATATGTAATGAAGCTCTGCCTTGAGCATGTGCTACAGTATGTCTCTTTAAGTGATGTCATAAATGACTGACTTGTTCAAAGTAATATGTTTCTAGAAAGTGCAGTTTTGAATGCAATGCTAAATTTCAAAAAAGGAAACACTGGATAGATAACTCTCTACAACAAAAAGTATGTTTTTGTGCCTCTGTAACAGGATTCTAGACTTGGCTAGCCCTCTTCTCACAGCAGATTCGGTGGCATCGTCTGTGACAGAGATTCACATCTCTGTTTGCGCTCATTCCACATGGCCCAGACAGGTCTGCTTAGGGGTTCTGTTTGGTTCCTATAGTTCTTCTGGCTGGTCCAGTTGCTCCTGCTGCATCTCTGAAAGGGCCTTGGGGTCAGTAAAACGCAAGAGCTTTGAAGTCATCATTATATATTTTTACCTTTCTGCTTAAAGTTCAGGCAGTGGTCCTAAATCCCAACTTTTCCATTTTAGAATTGCATAGATGAACAAACTTTGCATTTATAAAAGTCCTTTTGCATCATGAAATGGGACGTTTTCAGGCCATCTCCCAGGAGAGGACTCTTCTGCATTGAACTCAAGGAACAGTGAAGGGTTGTGCCCTGTCTGTAGCTCAAAGCTTGGTTCCAAATCCTCTTTTCTTGACACTCTCCTCACCCACTTCATAGTCTCCTCTCCTCCCCTGCTCCTCCCTTAGAGGAGATGGGCTGAAATCTAATTTACATTGCTTTCCATATCGAAGAGAGGTTTTTCTTTCCTGCTTTTAACTGGAAAAGTAGATGCATAAAACATTTTCTCTCATTTAAAATATGTTCACTCTAATCATAAGTGGTTGCTTTAATGGTTTCAGGGTGTTTTTTTTTTCCTCCACTGTGTGGCCCTGGTGTTCTTCCAGAGAACAGAAGGGTCCTACATCTAAGTGCCCATTCTCCTTCCAGCCCTGCCACCCTCCCTGGCAGAAGCTCTCTTTGCCAGTATCTGTCATGCAGAACAAAGAAAAATGCAGAAAAAAAGCAATAGCTTCTTGTGAACTTCTTCATGACTCATTATTCTAAAAAGCAAGTTAGTTCCCAGAAAGAAAGGCAGTTCTTAAAAAAAAAGTGGGATTTATTCCCAAGGCAACTTGGTTTTTGGGAAATGCCAAGCTCTTGCCAAGTCCCTCTGACAACACCTACAAGGATGTTTTCAGGCACCAAAGTGCCCGAGATCCCTCTTTGTTTCTTCCTTGAATAACTGAAATTTTCTTATTCATCAAAAAGGACTTTTGGTTCCTGCCTTTCTCTTGATCAAGTTCTGCCTTTTGGTTTAAAAATTAGAATTGTCCAGAGTGAGGCACATCCTTCAGAAAAGTATTGGGTAATTATCATACAGGGGCTTTTCTCTCTCTTTTCCTTCCTTCCTTCCTTCCTTCCTTCCTTCCTTCCTTCCTTCCTTCC